GTGTCATGCATGTGTCGACTTTCTATTGTGTCATGCATGTGTCGACTTTCTACAGTGTCATGCATGTGTCGACTTTCTACAGTGTCATGCATGTGTCGACTTTCTACTGTGTCATGCATGTGTCGACTTTCTACTGTGTCATGCATGTGTCGACTTTCTACTGTGTCATGCATGTGTCGACTTTCTATTGTGTCATGCATGTGTCGACTTTCTACAGTGTCATGCATGTGTCGACTTTCTACAGTGTCATGCAATTGTCGACTTTCTACAGTGTCATGCATGTGTCGACTTTCTACTGTGTCATGCATGTGTCGACTTTCTACTGTGTCATGCATGTGTCGACTTTCTACTGTGTCATGCATGTGTCGACTTTCTATTGTGTCATGCATGTGTCGACTTTCTACAGTGTCATGCATGTGTCGACTTTCTACAGTGTCATGCATGTGTCGACTTTCTACAGTGTCATGCATGTGTCGACTTTCTACTGTGTCATGCATGTGTCGACTTTCTACTGTGTCATGCATGTGTCGACTTTCTACTGTGTCATGCATGTGTCGACTTTCTATTGTGTCATGCATGTGTCGACTTTCTACAGTGTCATGCATGTGTCGACTTTCTACAGTGTCATGCATGTCTATTTTCTACAGGGTCACTGTATGTAATCCATTATTAATTACTTGCTTAAAGTAGACGATTTGACGAGTAGAATAAAATAATATTCCATATTAAGTTTATGTCGTCAGGTTATAGAACACTGTTTAACGCCAAAATCCCTTGGGCGTTATAATGATAAACCACAATGAGCTTGAAAATGATAGATACCGATCGATATTTGAATAATTTTGTAGACTGCACAAATTGGCAATAATGCTACAGTTACTAACGTCATTTGTCATTGTGACAGTCTGGACCAAGAGAAGAGCAACCCACCCCTCTGATCACGCATTCTATACTGACATTAGAGAGATCAAATTACAATAGCTACCAGATATGCAAAGACACATTATGAGGTGTGAGCGACATGCATTCATACGACATGTTATTAATAGTGCACGTTTATTATCAAATAAAAACGCGAGAACCTTAGGGTTATTCAAACACGAATATTTGTATGTAGGGAAGTGTATTAGTGACACAGTATAATCTACGTAGATGTAAGTCTCATCTACGTAGAGGAAAGTAGTATCTTCGTAGATGTAAGTCTCATCTACGTAGAGGAAAGTAGTATCTTTGTAGATGATAACAAAATGACTGTGGCACTAATACGCTTCCATAGAAAAGCCGAAACTGCAGTGACAGAATAGAGTGCTTAGAATGTGTGATGCGTGACTCGTCTGTTTCGCGAACACCCGGTGTCAATGTTTTAGCATCACAATGGTTATAATGTGCAGGTATTTGAATCTGTATTGCGGAGTGAGCCTTGTGGTCAAAGTATGCGTTGGTGTCCCCCGTCAGGATATTGCCGGGAAATGTCAAATGCGGCGTAAAACGCTACTCACCTTCTCATAATGTGGAGTACTGGTGATTAGCTGGGTTAAAACACACTTTTACACCCCTCATGCAATATAACATTCCCATGGGTTCAGACATCTCAGCAAACAAAACAACACATGGGTACAACGTTGTCACATCGTTTCTTGTTTGTTGTGATGATGAATGTTAGAAAATAACATAGCCACAACATTAAATATGTGTTTTGTTATGTTGCTGCAAGGTTATGGTGGACGACATGTAACGTGACCAAAACACATCCCTGCAACATTCCCTCAACATTGCATTATCATATTCATGATACGATATGTTCATACTATTATTCATAATTGACATGACCCGTGAAGATTCGGAGTAGAATAGGTCTTTAGCAACCCATGCTTGCTGTAATAGGCGACTATGCTTGTCGTAAAAGGCGACTAACGGGATCGGGTGGTCAGGCTCGCTGACTCGGTTGATGCATGTCATCGATCCCAATGGCGTGGATTGATGATCATGGTGTAAATCACTGGATTGTCTAATCTAGACTCAATTCTGTACACACCACCGTCATATAGCTGGAATATTGCTGAGTGCAGCTTTAAACAACAAACAAACAAAATCATAATTGACATACCAGTCAAATATTCTCATCTCTTCTTGACAAGAATCATAGTTATAAGATCGTGCAAATGTTTCTATTTAAATACTGTTGATTTAGGGACTGGTCGTTTATTATAGTTGCGACCCAGACCCTAAATAATATTCAATAATTAAATTTTTATAAAAAATCTTTTTTGAAATAGAACTTGGAAAATAGCGGCCATGAGGCAGAGCAGCTGCTGACCTCTGTTGAGATCAAACGAATTGCTTTCGTTTCTTTTTAATTAATAGATATGTTTAGGTTCGTAAAGGCATAATTTCATACTCGGGACTGGATTTAAAATCGTGTCTTCCAACCACCATCTTGAAGAGACTTGTGGTTCTTATGCAAACTTGTCGCAATGTTACTGAAATTTATGTTAGCATGGTTCGCTATCTTATCGCGGTAGTTAATTTATAATGGACCATAATGTTGAATACGTAGTAACATATTAAATATGTCATACGCAACATTTTTCTTGTTCTTCGTTCAATGTCTTGTTCTTTGTTCAATGTTTATGACACATCAGTTAGGATTCAGCCATGTTGATTTTCTTTGCCGAGTTTGGTAAACAAAGTACCTGTCATTAGCGAATCAAGGGCGGGCAACTCTATATCACTATTTTGTGGTGTGATACTTTTGGATGATGAGGGTTACATCACTTCCTGTTTTTAATCATGCAGAATCAGTATTTATACAACCTATTGTGGGTCAAGGGACATCATCCGAACAAGTGGATTCTTTTATAACCAATTTTCGAATGTAGGTAGGGTAATTACACTTCAAAAACATTCCAGAAACTATCATAAAAACGTAAACGTGTATACTAACGGGTAGCCGAGACATAGCGACGAGTCATATATTCAATCATGCGATGAAATATCGTGCTGAGATTTGCATAAGTTAACAGTCAACAGAGGATGTGGATTACGAGATTTACCGATACCGCGATAATATAGAGAAGCGATAATATAGGGTCATACTAAACATCATAACATTCAAATATCTTTTGCTGCGATTGTACCAATGTTGCCAATCGAACCTGAGCCGTCGGCGTTACGAGCGGATGCTTTAACCACTTGACAACCCAACATCCATCTTCCTGTTCTGAATATGAACCAAAAGAAGCACTGCTCCTGTAGCACCAACAACAATGTGTGACATACACGTATGTGTATCCAAACACCTGTAGCACTAACAACAATGTGTGACGTACACGTATGTGTATCCAAACACCTGTAGCACTAACAACAATGTATGACATACACGTATGTGTATCCAAACACCTGTAGCACTAACAACAAAGTGTGACATACACGTATGTCTATCCAAACACCATATCATAGCATCTCAAGACGTTCTACATTTAAGATTCACAGAAAGAAATTTGGCTTCCTCTGTTTCCGTTTTCTATGATGTGGATGCTGAATGTAAGTTGTCGGTTCCAAGAACAGTTCCTTTGATACTTTGAAACAGCACGCGAGTCATCGATGAAAACATTCTCTTTTGATGCATAGTGTTTGTGTGTTTTAGATTTTTTCCTGAACAGTAGTGTAGCTTTTAAGTGTTTTGTTTAAAGCGGGTCCTAAGTTCTTTTCTGTGTCTACATTAATTAAAAAATATTTTCATTTTGTTAACTCTTTTTGACAATTCAACTGGTTATTTCATCTTTAGGCACCTACAGTGTGTCAATATTGATTTTATTACATGTCAATACATGTCTTTATCCATGTGTTCTTGTCAACACAACCTGTGAGGTATTGGGAATAGAACAAGTTCTCAGAAAGCCTTGCTTGTCCTCCAGTACTACAAAATGGATTGGAGGTCAGGCTCGGTGATTTGGTTGATTGGAGGTCAGGCTCGGTGATTTGGTTGATTGGAGGTCAGACTCGGTGATTTGGTTGATTGCTTGTCATTGTACCCCGACATAGTTGGATGTTGCTCACAACATCAACCACTGGTTTGTCTCGTCCAAACACGCACATTTACAGGACGTCTATCTATGGTTGGAATATTCCCGACTGTAGGTGTGGCGTTATACAACACTCATTAACATATGTGAATTATATCGATTCTCAACTGCCTTGGTCCGCTTAAGCAATATCACTTTATACTCCTCCATTGTAAATTATTAATTAAAGGCGACAAAACCCTTTCCATATTCATAAGAAATATCTGCCAAAAGCAGAGTCGATTGTGCCGACAATATCATAAGGGTGTGTTTATGAATCACTATCAAACAGTGATGAAACCAGGTGTTCCTAACTTACTGGTGGCCCCCGTTACAAACACATGCAAGAGCAAGTCAATTGTTCCCCCTGAATAAACACTATTATGAAAAAGTAATACAAAACGTCAGTCAACAATTTCCCTAAAGAGTTTTGAATAATCAACTTGTTAGGACAAGACTGTATCACCAATTTAGCGATTACCAAGGTTACATACATTCTAAACAATATAACCTGTGAAGGTCCGGGGCAGAATAGGTCTTCAGCAACCCATGCTTGCCGTAAAAAGCGACTATGTTTGTCCTAAGAGGTGACAAACGGGATCGGTTGGTCAGGCTCACTGACTTCGTTGATGCATGTCATTGTATCAAAATTGTGTGGATCAATGCTCATGACGTCAATCACTGGATTGTCTGGCCCAGATTCGATTATTTACAGACCCCCTTCATATAGCTGGCATATTGCTAAGAGCGGCATCAAACAACAAATAAACAAAACATATGTTTGTTTATATTTATATTTTTACTCGGGGCTTCAGAACCATTCATTTGGCTTTTTAGTGTGTCAAGATGATTATTTAATGTCAAGTTGATTACAGTAGAGCTAGTGACCTACGCTTCATGTGCCATATTAAACAATGTTGATTTTGTCTGTTTCAGGACCATACCCTCTACCTGAAGACGTTTGACAAATGTCTAACAGTTGGGGAGACCTCATCTCTCCAAATGGCGACGTGCGATGGAAATTTGAATCAAAGATGGATGTTCGAGAAATCTAAATTTGAAAACCAACGCGTTCTCAGGAATTACAGATAAACCGTCATTCATGAACACATTCATCATTCAGAACAGGCGCCGAAATTCGCTGTGCAGAGTTGCGTCCCTTGGGCGCACCAGAAACCTATGATTGTGGGTTCGAATCCCGGTTCGCCTTGATTATGTCTTAGGTTTGTCAGCACCATACCCGTGCTCGTGGGTTTCACCAAAGTGGTAAACATCTGAGACCTGCATCACTTCGGGCTTTCCTCCCACATTAAGGTGACACGCCGTGATATAACTGGAACACTGTTAAAAGCGGCCTTAAACCCGACTCACTCACTCACTCATTCAAAACAGCTGATCTGCAATGCCCCATAGCACATAACTCATTTCATAGTCTTCCAACATTGACGTGTATCAGTCCTGAAAATGTAACACCAAAGTATATTATATATTATAATTCTAAGTAACTACTTCCTTGGGACTAATAAAGGACTAGATTGCTACCGAATGATCTTAAACGATCTTGTGATATCGGTTTCACACACTTGGCTCCAACAGGCTTTTGTCCTTACTCCCCAAACTGTGGCGAATCAACCATATCTACTACTACATCTTGCTCAGAACAACAAGGTCAATCGTATAATTCACCAGAATTTTCAAATTGGAATGATCAAGGCTGTACTGCTTTAGTTTATCATAGCGTGTGTCAAGGTGCAGTCTTTCTAATGTCACGCATGTGGAAAATAATTATGTTTGTAAGATACCATTATTCCACAGCATAGTTATATACCCCACAAGACTGTTTGACAAGAGTGATGACTTTCCAGTAGGCAACTAAACCTTTATGTCCAGCAATAGTGCAGGGTGTACATTTCACAACTTTTGAGGTACTATCAAGTATACTCTTTCTACGAAATAAAGATAGTCATACGACCAAAGCTCAAAAGGCGTTTGATCAAGGTGTTGTGGTCGACATGAGGTGGACGTTTTCAAATTAGACGCATCAGTGACCAAAACAAGATGTCGGATGCAATTCCCTATTTTGACTTGTACCATGCTCCTGTGTTTATTGCCACAGCCATCTTGTTAATCAATGACAAACGTAGTGTAACGTAAACACTGTCACGGAGCTGTGCTCCAATGAACAGAGAATAAAGTAATACTAGTGGTAAAAGGTTCAGATGTTTATTAATAAAGGCTAGTTGTACTAATAAATGACAATAAAGAATCAGATAAACACAATAAGTGCTAACAGTTATCACTATTATACAACCAGATAGCTAAACAACTGTATTACAGCAATACAAGGAGTAACTAAAACAACACGAGATACCCACCAGATACCCACCAGATGGGTAGATGGGTAGATGCGTAGACACACAATTAAGTTCGCTGCGACCAATTAACACCTGGGTCAGTTAACTGAACACTCTAATGAGTGAATAACCTCGGCTGGGTGAATTAACGGGAAATATGCACATCCCTAAAATGCCTATCCCTGAAATAAGTCACTTAGATACAAAATAGATTATTACGTCTGAATATCAACTATCAAATATCAAAATTCAGACAATTTGACTGAACAAGGTGAGTGAGTGAGTTTGGTTTAACACCGCTTTTAACAGTATTCCAGTTATATCCCATGGTGTCAGCTTGATGTGGGAGGAAATCCCAAAGTGATGCTGGTCTCAGACGTTTACCACTTCGGTGAAACCCACGAGCACGAGTATGGTGCTGACAAACCTAGAAACATAATTGGGGCGAACCGGGATTCGAACTCACAATCATAGGTTTCTGGCATGCCCAAGGGACGCAACTCTGCGCATCGAATTGTGGCGCCTTAGACGACTGGGCCACCACCGGGGAATACAACAGACAGGGCGCCAAGCCAACGTGTGTTTCTACACAAGGGGATAACCCTAACAGCAAACTAACTACTATAGCCATACTGGAGTTGTAACAATCAAAATAAAGCGCTGAACATGAGCTATCCAACTGTACCATTAAAGATATACAATAAGCTATGCACAATTATTGAGCTATGTTTTATTAGTCCAGCGAGGGATACGATCCTGGACCGCTGGGGAATACAACAGACAGGGGTGCCAAGCCAAAGTACACTAACAACAAACTAACTACTATAGCCATACTGGAGTTGTAACAATCAAAATAAAGCTCTGAACATATGCTATCCAACGGTACCATTATACATCAGTCTATGTACAATTATTGATGAGGCAAAAATGACCATGAATACATGAGAAATATGTGAGTGTAATTTGTGAAAATCAGTTACAAAAACATTTTCAATACAAGAATACGGTAAGGAAGAGAATATATGGAAGTCAACTTCTTTATTATGAGGAACACAATGTTTTCTAGTATATACTTACTTCTTTATCAGGTGAATGATGAAGGAGTAAGCATATACTCCGAAACCTTGTGTTCCTCATAAGAAAGAAGTTGACATCCATATATTCTCTTCCTTATCTGTATCGTTTCTTAATGCCTTTCAAAGACAAGAATACGGTGGCGAAAATATAACAGATAAACTACATCCAGTCAAAACATGGTTTGAGAGTGCCATTAGATTACAAGAGAATGAAATATTCGGGCCACTAAATCTCTGACACAAAATGTACTAACACTGTAGGATAGCGACCGCCGGACATTGCCGAGCAGCGCCGGAAATAAAGCCAGGAACCGAGCACTCACAAGACCGTAACATGAGGCAATCAACGCCCCGGTGACAGGCGCCGGGTGGTTAAAACGTTCTATAGTCACAGCCGAAGGGGTTTTGGTTACAAAGTATAAAGTACATTCTTGGTATCCACTGTAGAATTGCTCACTCACGCACGTATACAAATATATTATTCCAGAAAGTATTTTAGTTAATGCATATATTGATTACTGCTTTCCAACGGTACCACCTCGTAACAATGACTATGAAGATGGCCACTTTTCTAGTTATTATGAATATCCACCGATACAAAACCTCGAAGAATAATGAGTCACACTAGCAATACCATATCCTTTAAAAAATCCATAAGTTTTGAAAAGAAAGTTCATTGTTTTGCAATTCTATGTTTTTTTAACAATTACGGTTATCATTAAGCTTTTATATTAAATTATCGTTTTAACAAATATTTGAGTAAGCTGGCACGTTATTTATCTTTCACAAGTTGAAACATGAAATAACACAAAGAAAAAGCTCAGTTCACAATATACAAAAGTATCTGATCTTGTTGGATGATGCGCACGTAACGTTTGTGGACAGTGCAACTTGATCAGGCTTTATGCCCGGCAAGCAAAACTCGGTTAAAGAATAATCATTAGCAACATTGTCGGCGATCACAGAAAACACGAATAATTACGTTTTGTCGTTTCTGATAATACAATACGTGTGTACATCTAATTAGGTGAAACAACATGACGCCATAGCGACATCATAGTTTCCTTATCTGGACCAATGTTAGAAGTGTTTCATTTGAAGTGTTATCAAGTCAAACCGCCGGTACATCAGGGGTATTCAAGCTCGTGTGTGTGTCACTTGAAAAGAATCAGAGTTTAGGCAAAATCGTAAGCGACGCATTCAAATGCTTACAAGCATTAATGATTTACACATGCAAAACAAAATTTACAAAACTTTGCACATGCAACACCCGGTGTCATCATGTAAATATAAGTATAGTCAATGCGTGACTCATCCGTTTAGCGAACACTTAGCCCCTTGGATCCATCCGGTTCGCGAACACCTTGTGTCATCATTTAAATATTAGTATAGTCAATGCGTGACTCATCCGTTTAGCGAACACTTGGCCCCCTGGATCCATCCGGTTCGCGAACACCTTGTGTCATAATTTAGATATTAGTATAGTCAATGCGTGACTCCTCCGTTTAGCGAACACTTGGCCCCCTGGATCCATCCGGTTCGCGAACACCTTGTGTCATAATTTAGATATTAGTATAGTTAATGCGTGACTCATCCGTTTAGCGAACACTTTGCCCCCTGGATCCATCCGGTTCGCGAACACCTTGTGTCATTACTTGATTTACGATGACTAGTGCGTGGTTCATTCAGTTTGCGAACACCTTGTGTCAATACTTGATTTACAATCACCAGTGCGTGGTTCATTCAGTTAGCGAACACCTTGTGTCATTACTTGATTTACGATGACTAGTGCGTGGTTCATTCAGTTTGCGAACACCTTGTGTCATTACTCAATTTACGATGACTAATCCCATTTCGCGAACACATGCCATCGCTTATTATTACTGTAATTATAGCTTGATTCCTGCCGTTTATTGACACCTGGTGTCATCATGTCATATGACAAAGCATGTACGTATTAGCGTCATTACTTAATTTACGATGACTAATCCCATTTCGCGAACACATGTGCCATCGCTTATTATTACTGTAATTATAGCTTGATTCATGCCGTGTATTGACACCTGGTGTTATCATGTCATATGACAAAGCATGTACGTATTTGCGTCTACTGAACTGGACCACAACGCGATCAGTCTTAAGAAAACATCTAACCAGCAGAATCAAAGAACATGACTGCCTTCAAGTAATCTGTCCAGGCTCTTCTGGCAACTGTAGGCTTGAGCCATCGTTAGTTAAGCCGTATGCATGTCAGACATAATTTACCTTCAGTTTCAGAGGCTTTGACGAGATATCCAAGCCTGCTGACCTATACGTCGGACAGGTAATCTGGTAACGTTGAACGTATAATCAGTGCATGTAGAAGTACATTTAAAGACAGACTACTTCTCCTGACACTCACTGCAACGAGTGGGGGAACCAAACAATGTCGTCAGTAACCACGAGCTATTTATATTCTAAAACCTGAGGTTTATTCCAGCATTTGCCAAGAGACCTATCCCGTCCTTGAGAAAGCTTATGCAAATTGTGGGTGCCGGGTGCTACTGGTAGGGCAGGACATGCGTATATCGCGAACACCTTGTGTCATCACTGATCTTCGTTTTTTTGCATTTTGACCAATGGAATCTTTCCGGTCCACCCCTTTCAAAACCAAATGTAGTATGTTGTAG